AATTATTGAAGTTGTTCATTCTGTTTATTTCTGTGTGCAGAAGTGTCACAGAATTCTCTATCTGAAATCAATAACTACCCTGTAATAAATGCAGATGTTGTCCACTTATTGTAGTTTTTCTTAGACTGGTGGACTAAACCATGTGAAACGGCATTGGATATATACAGATGTCCTTGACTGTTACTTCTATTAACATGTATTGAGATGAAAAATGATACTTCTGTGAAAAGTACAAGTGAATTAAAAATGCTTAAGAATTTATTATGACATTGGAATTAATTTTTTTTATAATTCAGTTTGCTTAACGCAAAACAATTATCCACACTTTATATTATGAAGATTGTTTTATATTAAATCTATTTAAAATACTTAAAACTATTAAAATATAACTGTATTATACACTTATAACTTTATATATTGTACATAATATAATTTATTTAGGAAAATAAATATTAAAACAGATTTATTGTTTGATCATTATAAAATGAGTACAATTTTGAACATCTGCCCATTAGATTAGTTTATTATTATTTTTTATGATCTAACATTAAATTTAAAAGACTGAAAACAAAACACTTGATTTGTTACCCTGTAAATTATGGTGGATGAGCTTAGGAAATCCCATTTTTTCTAAACACCTCAATATATTTACAATGTACTCTAACACAGCAGTAAAGTAAAAGGAGCTAGAGAATGCATTTAGCACTCTGTTATAAATCCTTTATTGGGTCATTTGTTCTTGTTTTTTCCCCCCATAAAATGTAGTTATTTTGTTTGACTTGTAAAAAACTGCTTAATAACAAGACAGTTGGTTACTGAGGTAACTGAATATAATAATTTATTAATAATGTTCTGAATATTCCTAATTTGTCAGCTCTTTGTAATTTCTAAGAAATACTCAGAATTATATAGAATTTTATTCTGCATAAACCTGCATACCATTTTGAACTAAAAAAATATAAATATATTTAACTAAAAATATAGTACATGCTTGATAACTAGAATAATGACTTAGAACATACTACTGTGCTCTAAATATTACTAATAATCCAGTTCTCTCTATCTACTATATGTACCAGTTCTTCTTTAGAAATAATTTATTAAGTGTTCAGAAGGTCTACTGTATATTCTTAATGTGTTTCAAGTCCAGCACAGATAAATTTGAGATGAATCTTCAATGTATTTTTTCCCTCAGATGAACTTCACACCTGCATAAATATTTTTAAGACATGAAAACTGTAGGTCGGATGGAAGCTCAGTGCTGTTCCCAGCAGCTCCCAGAGTCTGGCCGATCAGTTTGATGCAGGGTGGCCTGGAGACAGTCCAGGGTCCTGTGTGGATATGCCCCAGCCCTTAATGTTCTGAGTCGATTCCATGCTGTATGTGCACACCTTTTAGTTTCACCATCTCAACAGCATGCTGAGGCTCAGAGCCAATGGCTGGTTTTTGTTATGTATTTTTTATGTCTAAAAATGTAAATGCTGTGCTGTCTTTCCCTCCCAAGTTCAAAGCAAGGTGAACTAACCAGGCAGTCTGCTGGCTCAATGTGTAACTAAACATCGACATTTGTTTCAGCATCCCATACAACTTTTGCATATTACTTGATATTTTCAATATCCTCATAATTACAGATTCCAAGATTTCTTTTATTATCATTTTTAATTTAGTCATTATAAAACTGTTCTGTTTACCTCCAGACTATTACTTAGGCATAGCCAGACTTAATTTGGACAGTGGTCAACAATCCTATTATATCAGTAAGACCTATTGTTCTCTTAAACAGCTGTCGTTCTGCACTGATTTGGAACAGATGGCCAGTGTGTAAGAAGAAAAAGTGAACCTTATGAACAACGGCTGTGGAGATATTTGTGACTGAGCATCAAAATACAATTAAATACTGTGATTGTGTTAAAAAGAAGGTCCATACAAATAAGACAGAAGTAGAAATGTGGGTAACGCCTTCTGTCTGAATCTTGCAAAGAAAATGATACAATGAAAAGGTCAGGGTTTTCAGGGAACAGTATTATATTTAATTTAAAACTTTAATTTCTGTTAAACAACAATAATAAACCATTTAAACAGCTTGTCTCGTTCTGCCATGGCCAAAAGGTCTGGTATTGATCTGAAAAATGTGGACGAAACATCCTGTAATCAGACTAGATCCTGTATGACTTCATCTGTGTGTCCCTCAGTATTCCTCGATAATTCTCTTTTAAATTGTATCTGTTTGAACTGACACTGTCTTTATAATATGAGATATCTGTGTTTGGTATCACATGAAAAACTGGAAGTGAATTAATATATGAATAGTTATTTCACTTTAGACATTCATTATTTCTCATTACTTTCTTTATTACTTACCAGAGGCAAAGTTTAGATTTTTTTGGGGGTAGAAGAAATAACTGGAGCAGAGATGATGATTAAACTTGTACAGCACAGATATTGCTACATTTCATAAATAAGCATGGACTTAAATTGTTTGACACCTACAAGAACCATGTGTATGTTAAAATATGCTAACCTAATAATCTGAAGGGAAAAAATGTATCCATGATAATGGCATTCAAATGCTCAGTTTCCAAGCAACTGGGTGATTAGTTTGTCATTTGGAGATAAAAAGAGGAATATCTGGGGAGTATTTGATCCTGCATTTAATTTTTAGCAGGCTATATAAATTATGAAAATAAGTAAAAGGTGAAGTTAACTTGCATCTTCATTTTTGGTTTTGAACAATTTTACATAAAATATTTACATTTGTAAACTCCGGGAAAACCGTGTTGGTAGAATTCATATGTCACTAGAGGAATTTACAGAAATTTCATATTTGCCTTTTTTAATGTGCACATACTTCAGTTTCATTTTCGTCTCGATGGCCAGAGCAACCAAGCACAGCTTTTTCCAACGCAAATAATTTTGCTTTGCTCAGTACCATATTATGAGTAAATCCAATCTGATCAAATAAAAAATATGGACAATTAATAACAGAATTATTTTGTGTATCGTATTTGTAAATATCCTCTGAGAAAGGTACTTTATTTTATTCTGTTTATCTATGAAAAACACAAAAAAAGAATGTAATTATCAGACATTATGGAATCAAATCTAAAAGAAACGTTGTTCAACGTAGGAGTTTTTCAAGTCAGACATGGTTAGTCTAGGTAACAAAATGTGGGTTTTAGTCACCTAATAGACTCACTTTCATAACAGTGTATGGGATGTAAAGAGGAATATGTATAACAAAGAAATACAAAGACTGGAATGCCTCCAGGCGTACATTTTGCTTTGGGTAGGCTGCATCAGATCCGTATTTACCTCTGTTTATCTAATACCTCCCTGCCAAAAGCAACAAATGCATAACCTTTCAATGGCAATGTTTTTAGTGTCAATGTTGATACAGTACATACACTTTTAGGGAAACTCTTCAGCAGGAGAATAAAAAATCAGGAAAATAAGAAGTGTTGTGGCTGGCAGGTGCAGTCTGGCTTTCAGCAGCTCATATCTTAACATGGGGGAAAAGCTGCAGTGTTTAGGAGAAGTCCTGAGCTACAAGTTATATAGTCCGCTTCTCGTTATTCAGAAATCTGTCTTTCTAAACTATCAAAATCCAATTTTCACACATGTTACAGAAAAGAGTTAGGAGGCTCTTATGCTATTTTACGTCTCCATCTGTTTAGTTCAAGTTTACAATACGCAGAAACTAAATGTGAGAAAATAAGATGGATCTGCCTTACTGCAGACTCATGCATATCTGAAACACTGAAGGTAATTTTACAGTGCATATTGTGCTAGTCAGGTTAACCAGCATATGTACAGTAGTAGAATTCTTTAATTGCACCCAGTTGATATTGCACCCAGCTGTAATATTGCTTTCCTAGCAGTTTGCAAGAAAGATACTCACTCGATGATGAACAGAATGGGATGGGCTGAACAGTGCAAGGGCTGTAGTTGTAGTAAACATGATTAAATTTATGTCCACAGAGAAAGAGTTCTGTTCAGTGTCTTCCTTCCTTTGGTTTACATGTCTGTCCGACCAAGTGATTAGTTGTAGCACAATGTATTTGTGATCTTTTTTCGTCCAGTGTCAGGTATTTTGTGCTGTATTCATAAGCTCAACAGCGTAAATATAAAAAAAAAATAACAATGATCTGACCTTTGTAACCAGGACAGAAATAAGGGTTTAAAGCTTTTAATGTTGCACAAAAAAACCCCTAGAACATGAAACATGAAAGAACATATAAGTTGGGATGTTTTTCCAGTAAGAACTACCATGCATACTAACGGTTAAGTGGTCTTAACTGGGAACATGCAGAATAAAAAGTAAATAATCACTGCATGCTATGAAGATCTTCATCTCTGCAGGAAATAATAATAAAAAAGGCCTGGGAGTCGAAATGTTTGAATTTCTTATAATTGATGTAAATGTATGTGGTTGGCAAGATTTGTTATTGAAATTTATATACATTCATTTTACTTAAAAAAATGAGCTCCAGAACTGTAATGAGTGAAAATGCATGCTTAATTTAAATTGTGAATCTGTCTGTTAAGAAATGCATTAGAGGTAGAAGAAGCATAAGACATATTAATTGACAGACAGGAACTGCTGTCTCTGAGGTTGATACAAGTAATTTATTACTTTAGAAATGAATGCCACCTCCAGAATGTGCTTCATTAATTTCAAATTTAGTTTTAATTTCAAGCTGTTGCCCCTTGAGAAGAATAAGGTGGCAAATTATGTTTGAAGAGAAGAGATTTTTTTTTCTTTTTTGCTGTGAAAGAATGAAGAAGAGAGAAAACTTTATTCTTCACTGCAAGAATATAAATATATGAAGGGTGAGGGGGTGATTATTAAAATAACAATACAAGTAAACCACATTAGTACAGAAAAATGAATGATGTTTCAGTCTTAAGGTAACATTTTAACCTAGGCTTGTGTTGCTGTTGCCATTTCTGAATGCTCCTCTCTCTGTGCAACTCTCAGTTGATTTTTTTTTCCATTCCAGCCTATGTTCCAGATGAGCTAAAGGCTGCAGCGTTGGTGGATGAAGAGCTTGAAGGAGATGACTCTGCTGTGGAAGAGGAACCCCCCGTGAAGTACATGTGCTCAGAAAAGGACTTCTTAAAAGACTCCCAGAGCTACCAGGACTCCCCTGCCGCGGAGTTCTCCAGCCATGAAATGGACAGCGAGTCACATCTGAGTGAAGCCAGTGACCGCATGTCAGACTTTGAGAGTGCTTCGGTTAAAAATGAGGAGGAGAGCAAAGAGGCACTAGTCTCAAGCGAAGACACCCCAGCCGCAGACAGCCTTGAACAGATGAAGGCAATCTACAATACCTTCCTGACCAACTCCTACTGGTCTTCTCTAAACCTGAACCTCAGCCAGGGTGCAGCTGATAAACCCCAGGGCAGCAGCAGCAGCAGCAGCAGTAGCAGCAGCAGTAGCTGTGGTAGTGGCAGCTTTGACTGGCACCAGTCCGCCATGGCGAAAACATTGCAGCAAGTTTCTCAGAACAGGCTCCACCCTGAACCCAGCCTTTTCAGCACTGTCCAGCTCTATCGGCAAAGCAGCAAACTGTATGGTTCCATCTTCACTGGTGCCAGCAAATTCCGTTGCAAAGACTGCAGTGCTGCCTATGATACGCTGGTGGAGCTGACAGTACACATGAATGAGACTGGCCATTACCGCGATGACAACCACGAGACAGACAACAACAACCCTAAGCGCTGGTCCAAGCCACGTAAACGCTCCTTGCTAGAGATGGAAGGTAAAGAGGATGCTCAGAAGGTCCTCAAGTGCATGTATTGTGGCCACTCCTTTGAGTCTTTGCAGGACCTCAGCGTCCACATGATCAAGACGAAACACTACCAGAAAGTGCCTCTCAAGGAGCCTGTGACCCCTGTGGCAGCCAAAATAATCTCCTCAACCCGAAAAAGGGCCCCCATTGAGCTGGACCTCCCCAGCTCCCCGGATTCCTCAGCAGGGACACCCAAACCTTCCTTAACAGACCCCAGTGATGCCCTTCAGAAGGCCTCCAATCCCTACATTACTCCAAACAACCGTTACGGACATCAGAATGGTGCCAGCTATGCCTGGCAATTTGAATCACGGAAATCCCAGATTCTCAAGTGCATGGAATGTGGGAGTTCCCATGACACACTGCAAGAACTGACTGCACACATGATGGTAACAGGTCACTTCATTAAGGTGACCAATTCAGCAATCAAGAAAGGCAGGCCCATTGTGGAAGCCCCTGCTACACCAGTGCCAACCACCCCTGCTGAGGAAAAAGTTCAGTCTGTTCCTTTAGCTGCCACAACTTTCTCCCCCCCGGCTGCTGCACCATCCAGTGTCTCCCCAAAGCTGAGTGTAGAGATAAAGAAAGAAGAGAAAGAAGAAGAGTGTACTAAGGAGTTTATTAAAGAAAAGAAGCCAGATGAGGAGGAGGAGAAGTTTGACATCTCCTCCAAATACAACTACCTGACAGAAGATGACCTGGAGGAGAGCCCTAAGGGAGGATTTGACATCCTGAAGTCACTCGAAAACACAGTGACATCTGCTATTAATAAAGCGCAGAACGGTGCCCCAAGCTGGGGTGGTTACCCTAGCATCCATGCTGCTTATCAGCTCCCCAATATCATGAAACTGTCACTGGGGTCATCTGGGAAAAGCTCTCCTTTAAAATGCATGTTTACAGGCGGAGAAATTTTATCCCCCACCAAAAGCCAGCCACTAGTCTCTCCACCTAGCAGCCAGACCTCACCTCTGCCAAAAAATAATTTCCATGCCATGGAAGAACTGGTTAAAAAAGTCACAGAGAAGGTGGCCAAAGTGGAAGAGAAAATGAAGGAGCCTGAGGTGAAGACGTCTCCCCTGAGGCGAATGACACCTTCCCCTTGCAGCAGTGAACCTGGAGAGTCTACAAAAGGCGATTCCCCGAAAGAAAGCAGAGCTAAAAGCCCCGAGGGCAATGCAGGCAGTAACATGAACAATGAGGCCCTCACAAAAGAATCCGTTGAGAATGGGACAGACTCTGTAAAACTCCCTGCCGCTAGTATATGTAGCAGCACTGCCATTATCACTGACCACCCTCCTGAGCAGCCCTTTGTTAACCCTTTAAGTGCGCTTCAGTCTGTAATGAATGTCCACCTGGGCAAAGCTGCCAAGCCAGCACTCCCCGCCCTGGACCCTATGAGTATGCTCTTCAAAATGAGCAACAGCCTGGCAGAAAAAGCTGCAGTAGCCACTCCACCCATCCAGACCAAAAAAGCAGAGAATTTGGACCGCTATTTCTATCATGTCAACAATGACCAGCCTATAGATTTGACGAAAGGCAAGAGTGACAAAAGCTGCTCTTTGGGTTCAGCGCTTTTGTCATCCACATCGACATCGTCTGCTTCTCCTTCATCCGCAGTGACAACAGCAAAGACATCTGCAGTCGTGTCATTCATGTCAAACTCCCCGCTACGCGAGAATGCCTTGTCAGATATCTCTGATATGCTGAGGAATCTGACAGAAAGTCACACATCAAAATCCTCTACACCTACCAGCCTGTCTGAGAAGTCAGATGTGGATGGCACTACCCTTGAGGAGCCAGAGGAGATCTCCCCAGCCCAGAAACGCAAGGGGCGCCAGTCTAACTGGAACCCCCAGCACCTGCTTATCCTTCAGGCCCAGTTTGCTGCCAGCTTGAGGCAAACATCAGATGGGAAGTACATCATGTCAGACCTTAGTCCCCAAGAGAGGATGCACATCTCAAGGTTTACAGGACTCTCCATGACCACCATAAGCCACTGGCTAGCCAATGTAAAGTACCAGCTGAGAAGGACAGGTGGAACCAAGTTCCTAAAGAACCTGGACTCAGGACACCCAGTGTTCTTCTGTAATGACTGTGCTTCACAAATCCGGACTCCCTCCACATACATTAATCACCTAGAGTCTCACCTGGGTTTCAGGTTGAGGGACTTGTCCAAACTGTCCAGTGAACAAATCAATAGCCAGATCACACATACGAAAAGCCTCTCTGAAAAACTGATTCCAGCTTCCTCCCCAGAGGAGGAGAGTGGCACCTCTTACCAGTGTAAGCTCTGCAACCGGACTTTTGCAAGCAAACATGCTGTCAAGCTTCACCTCAGCAAAACTCATGGCAAGTCTCCTGAGGATCACCTCATGTATGTGGCCGAACTGGAGAAACAGTAGCACTGGCCTCAAGGAACTAGGCTTTCACTAGCCTTTTAATAAAACAAAAACTGCACAATGATGCCATAAAGCTACTGTTTAGTTTTGGCACATGTTTTTGATTTATCTCCAGAGGAGACATCTCTGGCCCAAAACGTTGTTCTTTCCTTATTTTTTAAAATTTATTTTCTAATTGTACAGTGTTTAATATAGAGGTGCTGCATAATCAGCTGTTGTTACTGGTAAAATATGAAGGTAAAAAAATGAAGTGGTATGTGTTTGGAATTTGTGTAAATTGGATTTAGTTTCTTTGCATCCTTGAGATGCATTAAGCTGCATGCATTAATGGACAATTTAGTTAAGCATTTAATAACTAAATCTGGTGCACTTTTATTTTGTTTTGCGTGACCTAAGTGTGCTGGTATCAGCCTCTAACATTTAACCCTCTGAGTACGGCGAAGCACTTCTCTGTTCATTTTCGAAACCAAAATCTAGAGGAAAAATGTTTAACTTGTGGATTGGCATAAAGATCAAAATATTAGCAAAAAATTGGGCCATTGTCAGTTCCATGGAGCATAATCCAATATTGAGGTCTTGTATAGGTATAGATGTATTAAATGCAAAGCTAAATGGATCCAAAATTTCAGTCATGTTTAACATTAAATCAGGGGCCTTCATTAATTCAGGTCTGTGTAAAAAGAAAAGAAAAATGTATATATAAATATATACCAGTTCCTGTCTAAATTATGCATCATTTTTATATTTTTTAATTTAAGAAGACTATGACTATCTGCTGGTGCACAATATATGAAGACGTTAATGAAATTGTTTTGCACAATAGTTTTGTAAAATGTTATTTAATAAAAAAAAACACTTTTAAAACTTTTATTTCAGCCTCGTGCTCAAAGGGTTAAACCTCTAGTACAAATTGTACTGTTATTTCTTGAACATAAAAAAATAAGAGAAAAAAAGTTTGTACAAAAGATGTTACTTTATGAAGTTATAAGGCATTCCATGATGTAACCTCTTATTTATAAGCACTCTTGGTTGTTATTTCATATTGTAGAATGCCTTTTTGATTGGTAACTTTTTGTTCTGTCTAATTATTCTCCCATGATTCCACTGCTGCTTTATCTTTAGGCATATGAAAGGTAACCCATGGTTACCAGCACACTGAGTGACTCTGTTCTGCTACATTTTTGGCAGTTAATTTGCAGACGTAACTGACAGCTGACACCATATGAGAATCTATGTATAAAATATTGGCATGTAAACAGCACAGACACTGTTATGCACTCTGTGCCCTGTTTTTGTTGTTGACAATGAAGCACCCATTATATGACTTCATATAACCTTTTTTCTACTGCAGCATTAAAATGTTTTTTGCAATAATTTTGTGTCGGGTTCACAATTATGTCTGCAATGTGCTATGGCTAATGAGCACATTAAAATTAAATTGTGTTCCGTGTCTCTGTGACGAGAGCTTGAGTAGTTTTCTTCATCTGGCAGGAACTGGCAGGCACTGCACTGTGCACATAAATCACAGATGTTTCAGCGAACTTTACCATGGAAAGTGCAGTGCTTGTACAAATTCTGAGGCCACTAAATCCAAATTTACACCCTAGGAAGGTGGCACTAAAAATCCTCTTTACATGTTAAGCAGCATTGTAAACAGTTAAAGATTACTGGGCTATTTCATACACTAAGAAACACATTATGAGAAAAATCAATGAACAAGTTTGTGGGGTCAAGTTTTCTGCTAGTTAAAACAAATTAAGTAGTTTCAGTTTTTAAGGAGGTAGAGGTTTAATCTATTTGCATTAAAACTGAGCATCTGTTATGAATGGGGAAATACTGTATAATTGTGCTAAATACATGACTAAGCACTCTAGTACTGGTGTAAATGCACCATTAAAAAACATTCTTTGCTAAAGCGATTCAGATCCAAAATTTAAATAATATTGTGTTCAGCTGAAGACTTTGTGAATTAGGACAGTTTTTCATTTTTCCCCCAAAATATAAAAAAGTATTGTATTTAGTGAGCCCCTGATGCCTCTAGGCAAAATGTGACAGTATTATTTCTTCAAGAGTCAGCAAATTAATAATAAGAGATATTAAGACATATGTGACATGTTAACTATGGTTTTTGCATACACAAAACTGCATAAACCCTGATTTTCATGATTTTATTAATATTTCTGTTATTAGGCACTCTTATTTGCAATCTTCCCAACATATTATTTTGTGCATCTTTTTCTGGGGGGGGGGGGGGGGATTGAAGTTAACAACAATGTTGCATTTGAAGACCACATGACTTTGATGTCCCATATTACATGGATTAACAATTCAAAATTCGCAGGCTGCAAAAAATAGCTCCAGGCCTTTCAATCTTTGGCAGCTGCCTGGAAGTAAGTAAAATAATATCAGAATTCAAATTAATAGGACTTAACATTTCATGTGTGTTTTCTTTGTTAAGTTGCTGAATATGTTTCTAGTCAGGCCTGCCATAATGGTGCAGGTAAGAAAACTTCATCTGAAGTGACAAGGTGCTGTTGTGTTTTAAAATGTCACCAGGGAAGCTTAAGTCTGGCACTGTATTTAAGGTTCCCATTAATTACAAAGAAAATATGCGTGAAATTGAAGTGTAAAAAGCCATTTTCTTTCCCTCACATCTGGGTCTGTGCTTTTGTGGTGCCTATTAAGGTTCAGAACAACAGTCCCAGAGACAAATACTGTAGCCATCAGTAGCCTCTTCTTTCTTATTATATTATGTGAGATTATAGACCAGAAGCACTTTGCACTAGAGAGTTCTGAGAATACAGTAGGTACTGCAGTCATTTTCAAATACTTATTTTCATATTTAATTTTCATCTTATAAATTATTTTTTTAATAAGTGGTACAGTGTAAGTACCCATAATTTCAAAACCAGGAAGAATTATAATATACAATTTTAGGGACTAGCTTGCATTGTATAGGTACTATTGGGCTAATTTAGTTAGGTATTTTTTTATTTATGCACATTTTTAGTTTGTTTTAACCTATTTTTCACTTCCAGAAACATTCAAAAGCTTCCTGAAGCAAGTATTCTACAGTGCATAAATGCACGTTTTAAAGCAAAGCAAATTTAAAAAAATAATATCCAGAACAGTTTCAGAACCTACACTCTGCACAGGCATTTTTGGTTGCACACTTTTCATTTAAAGAATACAATACAAGGACAAATATGTTTATTGGATGTGTCACAGCCACAATAAGGCTCTCCTTAAATCAATTAAAATGAAAGCTGGTGGGTTATTCTTGATAAAAAAAATTCTTGTTTTTTTTTCAGATGCCTTACTCTACACATTTATTTACATGCCTTGTAATTCATATCAGGTCTGCCCAGGAATAGTCTATTAAAGACATGCTAATTTAGTAGACTTATAAATTCCACAAAACTAATGTGAAAAATACTGGCAAGCTTTTAAATCACAGGTGTGTGCTGCTGACCTGGCCGTTACCCCACCGGAGCACTGGCTTGTTAAGCACACTGTAGATCTTCCAGCCGCCACGTTTACAAAGTATCTTAAAATAACATTTGTGATAAATGTGCAATTTCCCTAATTTATGGTGCTATGATGTGCTCAGGGCTACATGCAAGATGAAAATCTTAAATGGAGCTTGAACAGCGCACTTCACAACAAGAAATCAATATGCCATACAGCTTAGTGAACTATCTGCTCAGGGTAAGAATCACAAAACGTGCCAGTTACTACAGGTTTAATTTCCTCTAAACAGTACAAACACAGTTCACAGATCTCCTAGGCAAAGTGATTATATACATATATATGTATATGTAGAGATTTTTAGTTTAAATTGCATTACATGTTCTATCTTTTCTGTGTATTTTGACTCCCAAAGCAAGCGATAACATCATGTTTGCAGGCAATACCCCATTTAAATGACAGGGAGCTTAATACAGTATTGCAGCACTCTTTATTAGAAACGAAATCCACAGAGCATCCCCTTTGAGATATTACATCAGGGAAAATCGCTTCTTTAATTTAAAAAAAAGGAGCTACTTTACAAAATGCAGATACTGATAATAAATTCCGAAGATTGCCGTGATCCAGGAGCCCTTACACATGGACTCACAGGGGTTTTAAACATATTGTCCTAAACAAATACATATTTTTCACATAGCTTTGCAATTTATTACACTATAAGCCTCAGAACAAAAGACTGGTATTGTTTTACCATTCAAAGGATAGTTTAATGTTTTAGTTTTGCTGCTGATTAGTAGACAATAGTGTTGTATTAAGAGCCACAGCTATTGCCATGAAATAATGTTCTTTTGACAACACCATGATGGCACCATGATTGGGCAGAAGCAAACCAGAAAAGAGTAAACATAAGGGAGTCATATACAATGCAATGATGCAACATTTGTTTCCAACACGACTAATGATCACTTGATAGACCATGAAGTAAAACAATACCAGGTGGCTTTCAGTTTTTCTTTATTTATTTTCTGAAAGAGCTGCATTCCAACAACCTGCCATCCGTTTTGGGAGTCAAGACTTCCAAAAAGTCACGGAACAAGCTCTGAATTCTGCTACACTGCTATTTTAAAAAGGGCAAACCATCTAAACAAACTTAAATCCCCCACGGGAAGTGGTATAAAATAAAATAAGGCTTTTTTTAAAAAAGAAAAAAAAATACAGTCAATTATTTTGTTCCCCCAATACAGATATTATGGCCATTTTAGCCAAAATATGTGCTGTTCTAATTGCTGCAATTACACAAGGCAGCATCTTTATCTGGATTCATCCTATATTGCACGTTATGTGCACCATAGCTGATAGAATTCCTGCCCAATTTATCCCAGGGGTATTATTACTAAGCAAAAATAATCTTTCCTGACAAAGGCAAACTGGTAAATTTGTCTTCTCTCGGGACACCCTGCCTGACTGCCATTCTATCGTCATCCCCTCCAGCCACTGGCCTGACCTGCAGAAAAAGGACATTTGCCAGAAGAGAGCCATTTCAGCAATGAAAGAGACAGCCTTTCATTGTCTCCATCAAGACATTTAATGCTTTGTATTTGCTGGTAGCTCGCCTAGTTAAACAAACATCCTTTACTCTCGCCTGACATCATCTTATTGCCCTGTCATTCACCTCTGTGACCTGGAAACTAACGCACAAAGTGCTTTAGGTTTCCACGGTTGTGTTGCTTTACAAAAGGTTTTTGCAGGATAGGCTGAGATACTTTCCAGTCCAGGAATAGCAGGCACATGCACACCTTCTCAGTCAGTGTTACACTGCATCAAAAGAGCACTGCAGTGTAAATTCAGTTCAACAGGGCCTAAGAAATACTGCATGTTTGTCCTCTGGTATTAGAGACATGTCTGCAGCAAATTATTAAGCATTTATGATAGCTTAAAACCATAAAATGAGATACAAACAGTATTTCAGTGTATGTTAGTTTTCTTCAATTCCAGTTAATTTTGTGAAAATGTATGATTGAAGCAGCTGATTTGAAGTGTGAGCATCATCAGTGTCAGATCTCCGTGATGCCTTTTAGCATTCTTCATAGATAGACAATAAAGAAGATTAGCATTTGGTCTTATAATAAACAAAAACTTTTGTTGAGCAGTAAAGACTTTTCTAGTCAGAGGAATTCCATTTTAAGTAAAGCTAAAATCTCTTGTAGGGTGTCTCATGTCAAGTTTTACAGAGAAGCTTCAGACATTTTACAGGTGAAGGAGCAATGTTACAGCCTAAGAGGTTTTTCAGCTTAAGCAAGGTGACTAGGGACAGTGCTTAGCACAGTCTAAACATAACCCTTCTATTAAGTTAAATATCTACTCCTAAATGGACATTCAAGTTAAATTATATTCCAGTATAAAAGGGTAAAACAAAACTGCCATACTTACAGAAACAGCAATTATGAAGTCAATTTTTGACCTTACTAAATTAAATAAGTCATGCTTTATTATAATAGGAGAGTGGAAAATTGCCCCCCAGATATTATAACCTTTTTAAGTCCCCTAGTCTGGCGTGCAAAATTCTCTATCCCTCTGGATGAAAATAAAAAGAAGTATTACATTACCAGTTAATATTAAAAACTTTAGAATCCATTGCGGTATTTTATCTTAATACTCAAACATTCATCGGCATGTGGCAGTGTTGAGATTTCTGATTGGTGGATTAATACTGAGAGGCTTATTACAGAGTATAAAGGGACTCAACCTGAGAAGAATCAGATGACATTGATTTGTATAGTGTCAATATAGCAATAACCTTATTTCGAAGGGCTATATGATATTACCACCCTGGAGGTATCTATTACTAGACATAGCAAAAAGATCATAACTGGTAAACTAGGCCTTTCGTGACTATAATGCTCAAA